TAGACATCAATAAAAACATTTATTTCTAATGTAAATCTATGGTTGTTACTTTACAAGTCATCTATGGCCGCCAAAAAATTTTTTGTTGTTAATAATATAGAATTATCAATTAATTTTCAAAAACGTACATAATACATGTAAATCATTGGTGGTCACAAACGTTTTAATATTTTTATAAATAAATGAGTTTTAATTGTATGCAAGTGCGAGTGTAAATCGTTTCACATAAAATCCATTGAAATTATTTACATTTTTAACGGATCAGTTTCTGTTTTAATAAATTATATTTAAGTAAAGATTAATAAATTAACGTTTGTGAATTTATTTATTTATTTTTAAATAAATAAGGGAAAAAAAGAATAAAACAATATTGTTTTAAATTTAAATTTTTTTTTTTTTTTTTTGTAAAATACACCTAAATGAAGTACCAAAAAGAAGTTGGTAACCAAAGCAAATCAAAAGAAATCAGTCAAAGTAAGTTTTATTAATTATTTGTTTCAGGTATAACTATTATAAGAATAAATATTTTATTAGGTATTTGTAAATTTCAGGAGTACAAAATGATATTGATCAATTGTTGGAACGCTTACCAGTTTTAAATGATTATTTTCATTTGCACGATAAGGTTGGAAAAGGAACTTTTAGCCATGTTTACTTAGCAACATCTAAAACAGACAATTCTAAAAAAGAATTTGCTATTAAACATTTAATTCATACATGCGATGATTCCATCATACAAAACGAATTGAAATGTTTGAGAGAAATCGGAGGACAAGATAATATAGTTAATGCTGAACTTTTTTTGACAAATGGAAAAGATTGTGTTACCTTTGTCATGCCATATTTATCACATTTAAGATTTGCAGTATGATTATTTCCCAATTTATTTTTCTTAATTTAATGTGAATTAATGGGAATAAAGCAAAAAACAATTGGGTGCTTAATTTATATTAAGAAATTTTTTTTTTTTTTTTTTTTTTAGGATTATGTTAGTGAAATGGATGTCGAAGAAACTCGTCTTTATATGAAAAATTTATTCATCGCATTAAAAAGAGTTCATTCATTCAATATAATTCATAGAGATGTTAAACCTGATAATTTCCTATATAATAGACAAACCAAACAGTAAGTCTAAAAGCTATCATTTATTTCCTATTATTTGATTGCATTGTAAAAACATTTTCATGATTTTTTTAGATTCCTTCTCATTGATTTCGGTCTTGCACAAAAAGTTAGAGTCAATAACGAAAAAGTCAAGGGTTGTAGCTCTTTCACAAATGAAAATTCAAACACGAAAAAACGTAAAAGAAGTTTAGACGTGAACGATGGGGAATTAAAAGTAGACGATTCAAAACGTATAATATTAAAATCGAAAGATAATAATATTAAATTATGGGACAGAACAAAAATTCAAAATGATGCTACCAACGATGTGGACAAGAAAAGGAAAAATTTTTCTCCGCAAAAGAGAACGATCGAAGCATCGAAAATATTAAGAGCGAACGTGTTGAACCCTGAATCGACCCTTAAAAAATCGAGACTTTTTAATTATTCAACTCTATTAACGAACAATAAGAAAAAATTTATCGATTTAAACTCATTGAAAAATTCGTCGAAAGTAGTCGTAGTAGAACAGGGAAATGTAAAAGTTGAAAAATTAACGAATGAAAATGCGAGTCCGAATTTGGCCAAAGAACAAATGATCCCTTCCGATAGGGATAAAGTGGAAAAAAACGAACCCCCCCTTTTTAAATCTCCGACCGTGTTTCAATTTGGTGCAAGTCGGGTACAAAAACAATATCCTTCAACGTCTGCAAATTCTACATTTCAACAAACTTGTCCGTGCAACGGAAAGGGAGCAGTTTGTTTGCTTTGTTTAACCAAAGATAAAATGGATGCACCCAGAGGGGGCACGTCGGGATTTCGCGCACCGGAAGTTCTTTTTAGATACCTGTATCAAACGACAGCCGTCGATATATGGGCATCGGGAGTCGTCATGCTTTGCATACTTAGTAAATGTTATCCATTTTTTAATTCTTCGACGGATTTAGTTTCGTTGGCTGAAATAATGACCGTATTCGGAACCGGACGAACAATCGAAGTCGCTTTAAAATTTGGTAATTTAGAGTAAAAAAAAAAAAAAAAAAAAAGTGAAATTTTCAATAACGATTTTATTTATTTATTTATTTGTAGGTCGTAGAATAATTTGCAACGAAACACGAAAAGGTGTCGATTTGAAAAAATTATGTGGACGTTTAAGAGCTCGACCCCAATGCAAAACGGAATCCGATGATAATTATTTATCGGAACCGAAATGTCGCGATTGTTTTCAAACGATCAAAGATGACGGTTGCATATGTCCTCCGGTAAATATCGAAATGCAAAACAAAAAAAAATTTCGATTATTTTCGAGTTTTTTTTTAATCTATGACTTTTGTTTCGAAAAAATTTATTATTATAGGATGACTCGTCGTCATCGTACACGTCATCGAATTCCGGTCGAAACGAAGACGAAGTGCAATTTCCAGATTCTGCATTCGATCTTTTATATCGTTTGTTAGATTTAGATCCGACGACGAGAATCACAGCAGAAGAAGCGTTGGAACATCCATTTATTAAAGAACCATGATATTTAACTAATTATTATTATTATTATTATTATTATTATTATGTAACGTTCGTAAAAAAAAACGTTGTTTAAATAACATTATTTCGAATTTTTAATTTTTTTTTTTTTTTATTTAACTGAAGGATGATGATGATGATGATGATGTTGTAAAATTTTAATAATGATGATGATAATTATTATTATTATTATTACTAATTTTAATTGTGGTAAAAAAAATTAAGAAAGGAAAAAAAGAAAAAAAAATTATTTTGTTATGTTAATAATTAATTTAAAAAGTTTCCGGTCGATCGATCGGGTAATAAATTTAAATAATTTTAAAAACGTTTTTTTTTTTATTTTTTAAATAATAATAATAATAATGACGATGGTAATGATGATAATGATAATTTAAATTTTGCGGTTTATATATATATAAAGAAAGGAGGGGGGGGAGAGAGAGCGAGAGAGAGAGAGAGAGGGAAATTCTTTTTTTTTTTTGTTCTTGTCATCGCAATCAATTTAATCATCATTATTATTATTATTATTATTAATGACGGATTGACGACGCTATTTATTATTATAAGATTTAAACGATTCTTTTTAAAATTTTTAAACGTTAAGAGACAAGGGAGGGGGTGAGGGGAAGGAGGGGAAGAAGGAGGAGGGAAGGGGGAGACGAAAAAAAAAAAATGCTAATGAGTTTAAATAATAATAATTATTATTATTATTATTAAAATAATCGAGCGTGGAAAAACCGTCGAATATATTTTATGGTCACATGAAAATGAAGAAGAAAAAAAAAGAAAAAGAAAATGAAAAAGAAAAGAAAATTTTCCTTCGACGCAAGATGAAAATGATGTTTAAATTTTTAATAATTGACTCCCGATTTGACCAAGGACGAAATGTAAAAAGAAAACTTTACATAATTGAAAATAATAAATGAATGACACTTATTTACATTAATAGGTGCTACAATAATAATAATAATAATAATAATAATAATAATAATAATAATAATAATAATAATAACAATAATGAAAAGAAAAGAAAAAGAAAAACTTGCGTGAATTTTTTTTTTTTTTAAAAGATGATTTCGCGCATTTGCTAAATACGAGTCAACGTAGTCAAAAAAAAAAACAAAAAGAAAAAAAAAAAAAAATTGAAATGTTTGAAAATTATTATTTAGCTCAGTCAAAGTTTTGCTTTTTGATTATGAACGTTGTCGATTTTGTATTGAATTCACCTGTCAAAGGATTATGTCTCGACATGGTCATCAATATAAAGGTAATTTTTTACATTTTATTATTTCATTTTTATCATCATTATTATCATCATCATCATCATCATTATTTCATTAAGTGCTCTATAACACGTGTTACGATATAATAATACTTTTAAATAAAATTTTATTAGAATTTAATGAGGTATCTATTTATTAATAATAATAATAGTTGAAAACTTTTTGAATTATTATTATTATTAATAAGAGTTTTTGTAAAGAAAAATTTAAGTGTCTCTTACCTTAAAATTGAGTCTCTCTCTCTCTCTCTTTTCAAAGAGGTAGATGATACTTTTTCTCTTTTTCTGGAAAAAAAAAAAATAAAAAAGAATTAAATTTTTTTGAGTCGTTTATATTCTAAAATGTACGACACGTGTAAAAAAAAATAATTTGTAGCCTCCCTCCCCCTCGCCCCCCCAAAAAAAAAATTATTTGTATGTACGGGTAAATATTTAAATGATAAATTAAATTTTCCTTTTTTTTTTTTTGCTTTTCTTTTGTTAGTAAACGATCGAAAGGGTTTTACTAGTGACACGACAAAATATTTTGATTAAATTTTATCCCACTAAGATTTGTTGTTTGTCCATTTCGTTAAATTAAATTTTTCTTTTTTTTTTTTTTTTTGTTAAGAAGAAATTTTCATTCGGTTAAAATGTGACGACGACGACGACGACGACGACATTTTCTTAATTAGAAATGTCAATTAATAGAATTAGACAAAAGAAAAAAAATCAGTTTTTGTTGTTTCCGTTTGTTGTTTGTTTGCTGTTGTGTGATTAAAAGCTCTAAAGATGAATATAATTGTTTTTTTTTTGAAACTTGGTCGTTTTTTCGTTTGTATTTGATTTATATAATTAATTTAATTCGTAGGATACGCCCCTGCGTTGTCATCTTAAACAATTTTTATTAAATTTAACAAAGTCTTAGTAAAACTAAAAACTTTTCGCAAGTTTTTTTATTTTAATTACAAAAAAAAAACGAAAACTTTTAATTATTATTCCAACAATTATTTTCACGCTTTGTTGATTTAAATTTTTTTTTTGTACATAATTTTACAATTTCGAAACATAAAAATAATAATAATAATAATAATAAATTATGTACGTGTTTGTGTTTGTGTGTGTGTTTACGTATACAAATTGTATAATTTTATTCTTCATTTTATCAAATAAATTTTATTCAAATAATAATAATAATAATACAAGTGAAAGTAATTGCCTTTAATTTAAAAGAAAATTTACTTTCCACCCCTCCGTCTCTGGCTCCCCTCGAAATACAAAAAAAAAAAAAAAAATAACTACAGGACAACAACAACAACAACAACAACAACTCAACTTATTAATCAGATAGCAAAAGAGAGAAAAACAACCATTAAAAAAAAAAAAAAAAAAAACGAAAATAGTACGGAAAAAAAAATTTTCAGTTTAAAATAAAATAAAATAATAATAATAAATATTTCGATTGTTTAATAACAAATTCAAAATGTCGGTTAATAATAATAAAAATAAAAAAAAGAAAAAA